TGAATTAATGGATTCGACTGGAATTCGAACTCGGCTCTCCTATTCTTCAATCCGAACCTCTTACTTCACTGTACTGGATCGATATTGTAAACAAGACTCCCCTTCTAAATCGATAACAAATCAATATCGTCCGATTCTCACATGTGTCGTGGCCAAAGAAAGATGGTAAGAATGCTAATCTCCAAAAATTACCACTCCACCAAATTTTCCCTATTTTTTACGAATGGACCACCGTATTTAAGTAGTCCCATTATATTCAATAAATATCTATAAAGCAGACAGATCTTTTTTCAATCTGATAACACGCAATCCACATCTGTTGCTCAGTAGATGGTTATTTTAATGTCTGTTTGAAATTTACTATGTTGTCAAACAGACCAACCTTTTTTTTTTGTTAAATGCCATATCCTACAATGTCTCCCAATTAATTAATTTTTTTTTATCTCTGCATTACCAGGTCCTGTTAGCAAAGCAGTCTGCATGCTATATATGAAAAAAAGAAAACATGAGTAAGACAAGGATGCGTTTTCTCATCGGATTTATTTAGCCTATACAGCGAGACAATCCCAAGAGAAATAGATGACTCACCAGGATTTATAACTAGCAGGCGTAATCATGGCAACTCATTATTCGTGAATGACAGTTGCGTCTCTGTCTTCGGGCAGAGTACGACCCACTTGCGCTTCGTCGGAGGACAGAGACGCAAATGAGGAAAACTATACTTTGAGGTGCCCAGACTTGGGAACAGGTTTCGAGGCTGCACCCTCTTCTTGCACTAGAGAGAATTTTTGTCCTTGGCTCGGGTGTACGCTTGTTGCGAACCCGGTAGCGTGCAGTGCTGGTTTATTAAAAAGTGGCCTTGTGCCAGACACTACACAAAACTACCGAATCCACAAACAAAATAAAAATATTGAGTGAGTGATCTTTAGTGAGGAAAAGGGTTATTCAACAAGTGCATAAAAATAGTACAAGTATAGATAGACTGGATTAAATGACAAAATGCGTCTGGTTAAAAAACATATATGAAATTTTTATTATATTTAAACAAGTAAATTGTCTCGACAGTGGAGACCATCAGTAAAGTTACTGGATCTTTGCAATTAATGAAAAGGTTGTGACAAGTAATCACTGAAGGAATGTCTGTGTTCCGCGCCAAAACAGAAAACCAAGATGGCTAAGGCGGGAAAAGTTCTTCAGGAAGAAAGTTCCAGAACAGTCAATTTATACGGAATATTATACATACAACAAAGAAAATACTCACTGCGAGTTTTGTTAGCGTGAGTGTAATGTTATATTTTTAAGGTACTGGTTCATAATGTTTAGAGTTCAACGGATATGAGAAGTTCTCATTCTTAACTGTTGAAGGTTTCAAAGTTTCCTGGTCATGGACGAAAGGCAAGTTCGAACGAGATGTTAGCCTTAGGTAGAGGAAATAGTCGTCGAAAAAGGTGATGTGACGAAGGCAAGGCTCGAACAAGAATTATTTGCCGTTAGTTGCATCGTCTTGAAGAGATTACGCACGACGAGCTAAAAGGGACTAAGCATAATTTGCTGTTAAGATATCCCTGTCTGTATTATGGGTTAACTGACGAGGAATAAATGAGCCGACTTGTCGATTCAGTGTCCTGACCACGGCTAAATTCGAAAGACCAGTTTGTCCGTGACGTCAAAGAAATTGCGCGGGAAGATTTCAAATTCCAGTTCAAAAAATATCAGGAGCAGCCGGTAAGCTTGAAGTCAACAACAAAAGGATGGCTTACTGCTATGTCTAATCGAAAGTGAAAGGAAGGGGGTGCAAAACACGCGCGCGCAAAAGGATGACTTCTATGCACGCTTCCTCACGCTCTTCGGTTCCCCACAATAAATCCGAACTTGTGCCATATCACATTTCAATGGGGAGACGAGGTAAATATCAACACATTTATATACTTCTTACCTGCCACATGCCGGATATGGTTTATCATATTTCAGTTAACGTCTCTGTCTTCGGATAGAGTGCGACTCAGTTGTGACTCTGTTGGAGGACAGGGGCGCAACTGAGGAAAATAATACTACGAGGTGGAGCAGCTGCCCGAGGCTGCACCTCACCCCCTCATGGCACTAGAGACACGGATCAGTGCTCGCCACCGAGACCAGCGCAACCGACGATTACGGCTTGGGGAATTTTTGTCCTCGGCCCGGGTGCATGTGCTCGGGTTCCCTACAATAAACCCGACCTTGTGTCACATCACGTCTCAGTGGGGAGACGAAGCAAATATAAATATCTATACGCGAATAACACTGCATTGATGGCAGACTCAGAAATAAAACTGAAAGTAGCCTGAGATAGTATATTAAAGGAAAGTAAGAAGAAAGGACTAACTATTCTAATAGTTGGGATCATCAAGTCAATGCAAACGTTCTTTTTCATAGCTGCACAGTATGTGCTTCGCCAGGGCTACATAAAGATATGATAAATTGGGTTCAGCAGAAAGAAGAAAAAATCAGAGATAAAGCTATGTATTAGGGACGTTAAAACTGAGCAAGTACAGAAATTTAATTATTTGGTTAGTGTCGCAACAGACGATAGAATATGTGACAGAAAAATCCGAAATCACACTGAAATAGAGAAAGAAGCCATCCACAAAATAATCTCAATATTAAGAGATGCTTTTTAATAATAACAGAACCTTTTCTAGTTTTAGTACACGCTGATAAGAATGAGATTGGAGACGCGACGTGGGGTAGTCATTGCCCGGTCTGGGGAAAGCTGTGTGAAGTTCTCGTTGTCGGTTTAATGATAACATGCTAGGATTTACTATTGGTAGATAATAATCTTAATAACATAAGATATGCGAATGGCACTGTGCTGTTAGTAGATTGTTTGTTTGGCTTGTTTAACGACATATCAACTCCTTATGACTCTTTTAATGCCTTTGAAGTAATAAAAATATGATATATATATTGTTCTGCTTTCACAGTTGAATACATGGTAGATGATACTCAGCATTCGTGCTTATACGTGTTTGTGTAGACATAATTACTAGAGGCGGTGATATGTGTATTTTATATTGTAGTTTTGTTGGAGTTATATTTTGGAACACAGTTTGATTTCTTTAAGAAATTGTAGGATAATATATAGATTAATCTCATGAAAGAGTTCTTTCATGTTGGTTGGTTGATTTTGTTTAGTGGCATATCAACACCTCTATGGGTTATTTAATGCCGAAACCTAAATATTTTGTACGGAATTTTATACTTTCAGAGTCAAGGTATGGTTTTTAGGTATATATCTTGTAGATTATAAAATGTATCGTTAGTAATTTTACTATAAAAATGTATTTTTATATATTTTTAGTGTTGCATTAATTGTCATTTTGCTATAAAAATATATTGTTGGTCATTTTTCTTATAAAAATGCACTGTTGATTTTTGTTTAAGGGTTCATTATTTGCCCATAGCTGGGACCCTAACAGGTGCCACCACCTCGGGTCAAGGTGCACCTAGGAACAATAGCATTTAAGAGGTAGTTTCACGCTCTTCAAAACCTCCAATCTCCCGATCAGAGGCCTTGCTGCCTGATGTAGTTTATCATCATACCCAGGACGCCGTTGTTGGTAGATTCAGTGTTGTGGTAGGATCCACTTAAATTGCATCGTGGAGTACCGACCATATAAATATGGTTGGTACCGGGAAGAGAGGAAGGAATCAAGAGATTCAACCAGAAACTCTGCCCGACTGCGACTCAGTCAACACATTCTCCAGGAACGGTCTTACCAGTAATATACAAAAGACTATATGTAAATATTGTGTACACTTTCTTGTTTCAATACCTTTTGTTCTAAGTACATTTTGTGTTGCATTATTATTCCATGCATTAGTCAAGTTTCAACATTCAGAAATCAAAATGAAAGAACATTTACAGAAAGTTGTAAAGGAAAGCAAAAGAAAACAAAAATATTTACTGTAAGAAGACAGAATATATTGCTGTCAGCAAAAGAAAAAAGAAAGAAAGAAAGAAAGAAAGAAAATACAGCTCAAATTGTAAGCTGCGTATTGGGGACATTAATATCAAGTAAATACAGTTGTTTAACTCTCTGGTTAGTGTTGTAACAGAGGATGGAATCTGTGATAGAAAAATCCAATGGTTCATTAGAATAGCGAAAGAAGCCATCAAGAAAATAAGCCAAGTATTAAGAGATGGGAAAATGTTCAAAGAAAAGAGTGCAACACTGTTATGTAATCCCCTTATATTGCGGTGAATGTTGGGCAATGTCATCATAGATAAAGAAGAGACTTCAAGTGTTGAGATGTTTACGGATACACACCGAGGATACTATAAACAGAACAGCTAAGTAACGACGAAGTTTTAAAGAAAATAGCAATTAAAAGGGTACTTGTAATATTTGGGATGCATAATTGTCATTGTGCCTACCTAGACCGACAGAATGAACTCTGCCGAACGCTATATATACTACGCCTCTCAAGAGAGACAAACGGATTTGGTATTGGGACGGTATTGAATCGAGTCGAGCTGATAGCAGTCACGCCAAACCAGTCAGACAAGTCTTACTAAACCTTTTCACTTCTTTGTATTATTTCTTGTGTAATATATTCTTTGTTATTTCTACTGTTGTGTTTCGTGTTGTTCTTCCATGGTCCTAACCTTGGACCATAACAATAATGAAGAAAGAGAGTTTGGTGAATATAACACTCACAGGACATTATTCTTCTCCTCTGCGCCGTGAGGATGAAACTGTTTATGATAGACCCAGAAAGAAAACATTGATCGATTCGTTTCCTACGTCTTATCAATCCTTTGCAGGTTATTTAAAGCCAGAGAATATTTTTAGATTGTAAGATTTTTTTTCGATCATAATTGTTTAGTTGGGGGAATAAGAAGTGGATTCATGCCTTTCGCAAGGGTATTTTGCGCGCAAGTGAATATAACGAACTCAATTGGAATTGAAACGATTAGCAATTGTGAGTCATTATCCATTACACCACCCACATATCCAAGGTTACATCACCTAGTATTCCCAAATTGTCACCCATCTAAGTACTACCCAGGCTCGACGTTGCTTAAATTCGGTGATCGTACGATCATGGTTCTAGAATCAGTTTGACTAAGGCATTTCATCGAATGATCATATTTTGGTTGGTATAGGGCTAAATTACTCAATAGTAACTCAGAAAACACCTCAAATTCATCTCTTTTTTTCAATGAATTTCAATCAGTTCATCCCAAGCATGGCGATAAGCACGGTGGAGTAATGGATAGCGGCTTGGATTGTGAAATTGGAGAGCCGAGTTCGAATTCCAGTCGAATACCCTTGTGAAAGGTGTGAATCCTCTTCTTCTCCCTCCAGCTATGGGTAAATAGCAGGACAGACTGGGTTCTGTAGCCTTGGGTGGCAACTGGTCTAGGAGAAGGAAAAACTCTGAATTCAAAACCTTGTGGCACGTAGTGCACCAGCTCTCTGTAATCGGCCCTTCAAAAAGTGTGGATGCACGAAACCTTCACCACTATAATCAAATCATGTGAATTCCAAATTCCCATGAAACTCCAATATTGGAGCCGGCTCAACACACCCCGGGTGAATGACGTTACAGGTACAGGTAAGCATGGCGATAAAGCCACTAAGACGCATGGTGTTACTGGGCGTGAAAGAGAATGAAAAAAACTTTAGAAGGAACCGGAAACCCAATACTAAAAAGGAAACGATGGATAAAACTTTACTCCTGTTCAAAGACCGGGGAGGTTTGTGAACTAGACGATAGGCCAAGCTATCTACCCCTATTGAGAGAGAACAAAAATAAATGATTAGTGAATAAAATTTCAGAGCTCAGGTAACAAGAGTTAAACCTCTACTCCATTATGGTTTCAGAGCCAAGTTGAGTAAAGTATTTGAACAGATTATCATATTCAGCTTGGTACAAGGTTAAATTACTCAGTAACAACTCAAGAAAACACTTCTGATTCACCTCTTTTTTCAATGAAAATCAATCAATTTATCCCAAGTAAGGCAATAATGCCACTAAGGCGCAAAGTGCTATTGGGAGTGAAAGAGAATGAAGATACTTTAAAAGGAACCGAAAACCCAATCCTAGACAGGGAACAAGGGATAAACCTCTACTACTATTCAAAAGGCTGGGGAGGTGTGTGAACCGGACGAGAAGCGAAGCTGTCTACTTCTATTAAAGAAAAAAAAAATAATTGATAAAATTTCAGAATTTAGGCAGAGACATTAAAATTATAGAGTTGAAATAGATTTTAGAAGGAACCGGAAACCTACCCCTAAACAGGAAACAAGGAATAAACCTCTATTCTTGTTTAAAAGTCCAGAGAGGAGTGTGAACCGCACGATAGGCGAACCATGTCTTTGACGTGCCCTTGATTGAAAGAAACAAAGTGAATAAAAACTTTCAGTCAAATTATGAAGATGTCCATGTCTGAATCTGTTATCGAAGAGCAAAGTTTTGAGTTTTCACTTCAAGTAAGCCTATACGATCCTCTTAAATATCAAGTCTGTTGTTTGAGTCTATGTGGCTGAAAGGATTACACTTGGCTAGATTTTAGGTTAATGGTTTTAAGTCGGAGTGTATAAATATATATATATATATATATATATATATATATATATATAGTGATAAGATATTTTATCAGTTCTACTATTATACTCTATCAAGCAGGCGTATTTGATATCATCTGATAAATTCATCCCGATGGATGAAGATAATAGGGATTTTGGGGCCTTTTGGGAACACGATTTTCGTTTTACAGAACATTTTATTTATCTAGCACGTCATACAGGCGTTAAGAGGCTTTCTTTCCCGCTTTAAACTGATACATCTGTCTATGATCTAAAGAAGTGTAGCTTAGTAATTAAGACACTGGAGAGCGAAGTTGAGAGGCCATTCTTTCGAAATCTTAGCATCCATTCTTTCTGTAGTACATTCAGCGACGTGGTTTCAAATTTAAAGTTAGAGATAGCATGCTTAAAGAATACTCCAGTGACACGCGTAATTAAAAGAAGCAAATGCACGTAAACTAGTCACGTAACTTAAATACACGGCGGCGTTGAGTGAATTTGACCGTGGAAGACGTACACAGCGACCAGCAAGCATACACCGTTCAGGTATTTCTTTCTTGTTTTACCTGGTTGAAAATGATCAGGTGAGATAAGATAAATTATAGAAGAAATGTTATATTTTATTCACCTCTCTTTCATTTCATTCCACATTACAGGCCCGTATAAATCATGACCAAAACGAGTTGTGTTTTCTACATCCTACCTTCTCTTACGTGACGTGTCTCTTTAGGACTTTGGTAATCATGGCTCTCCAGAATTTCCTGTCCTTTGTAGCTATTAATAAATGTTGTCTTTTTATTATCTCCCCTTAACCCTATGCCGCCATCTATTTACTCAAGTCTGCTAGGTATTTAATGCGTTGTTTCCCACTGTCCCTATTGCTTTCAATCTGTTCTGTGAGTATCAAATTTCCCAAGCCATCTGTCCTTATCATGTACTAAAGGCATTTCAACTGGCTCTTCTTAATGTTAATTATAACTGTCCATTTTCGTTCTATTTTTTCTAAAACTTCGTTGATGCTCACATGTTCGGTCCATGGTAACCTCAGCATCCTTCTGTAGAACCAAATTAGCTGTTGCCTCAAGTCTCTTTGTTATCTGTGAGGAGATTTTCCAGCAGTCACTGCCATAGCACTCAAACAGACTCTGACATGAGGCAGTTCGATCAGTCGACAGTCATCATTCAGCCAGAGCGAGGTATTAACTTCAGCGAAAATGTGAGTCAGATTTCACTTGAGTCTTGTCAGCTATACAGTGGTCAGACGAGTTGTTTAAAGAAGAAAATTTGCTTATCTTTGATTTCTGCAAAACCTTTTTATCTGTATGGCAACTTTTCGGAAGCACATCAATAAACATTTGGGGTTAATAATTATCTATCGTACATGAAAGATAAACGGATACATACGTTTGCTAAGTTTTTGTTCTTTAATAAAAAAAAGTATCCGTTTCTTTATTTAAAAGAAATCTGTTTAGTGCTGGTTTCAATTTGTTTATGAAGCTTTTTCTTGTATTTGTAGGTAAGAATAGTTATCTGTTTGGTATATTGGCATAATTTTGAATTTACCTTGATTGCATTTGTAGATGTGTTGTGATACAAATAGTGTTCTGTTGTCTGGTAATGTGATGTTGCTTTCGTGAAGGGAAACTCTACTGTTTAGAACTTGGCTGATGCCTATATATATTGCATTTTGTGCATTTGAATGCATAAATCACATTTTGGGGTTGTAATTTAAATTTTTATTTATTGTGAATGTTATTCTGAGGTTTTCCAAAGTGTATGAATTTCCTTCTATAATGATAGCACGAACCCCACTTCCTTTTTTGTAGCATTTTGTGACCCCCTGTATTGTGTGTTGGTTAAATTTGAATGAGGTTAATATGTGTTTCAGGCTTTTCGATTGTCGTTTGCTTTTAATTATACCTCCAACGCAATCCGGTGGACACCTACTACTCCTTCGCGTAACTTTGCCGGTTGGACCGCGTGGCGAATGTGCAAGCGGTTGACACCGGGGGAAAGGACCGAGAATGCGCACGGACAAGCATATCAACGACGGACGATGGCGCGGCCGCCCCGGTGCCGCGAACGCGACCTCGAACTCGATATATATATATATATATATATATATATATATATATATATATATATATATAACAGAATATCTACAACATAATATATATATGTGCGTTTGTTTGTGTGCGTGTAGTTCTGTTCATTTATGTAGATTGCAGATATCTTCTTCAATGGTCAGAGATTTTGTTTGAAAACCTATAAAAACGCAATTTGAAGTTTTTTTTTTAATCATTTCAACTCAAAATAAAGCCAAGATGCAAGGAATTATTGAGAGAGAATATTTTGATATTGCCAAACGAGAAAGAAGTTTCCACGAGAAACTGTAAAATGATGAGATCTTGCCGCATTAATATTCAAAGCAACGACAAATTGATGTCATGTCAGCTGAAAACGTTAATCTCTTGACGTCTGCTTCAAATGTCGCCTTGTTTTTCTCCATATATATATATATATATATATATATATATATATATATGAAATATATATGAATATATATATATATATATATATATATATATATATATATATATATATATATGATATATATATATATATATATATATATATATATATATATATATATATATATATATATATATATATATATATATATCATTCATCAGTACATTTACCATGAAAGTATGTATAGAAAACACACAGGGAAGCTATCCTGCCCGCAAGCCGTTAGTGGCCCGCTGGTGGGCCGCCGATGGCAACGCCGGTTGTTCTCTGGTAGCAGCCACTGGTGTGCCACTGGCAGGCCACCGGTTTCCCTCTATTAGTCCGCCGGTGATATCATTGCCAGGACGAACACGCCGGCGGTCTGACAGCGGGGCACCAGCAATAAACGCTAGTGGTATGCCACGCAGTGGCAAATTGGTGGCTTTGTGTAGGTGATGTTACGGCAGTAGGAAAGGGACTGAAGCCGCAAAATAGATTCTGGTGGGAAAAATTGTCTATCACGACACAGTGAACCAACTTTCTTAGTAAATGATTCAATATACTCTTTCCACTTCATGTATTTTCTTAATACTTTGCTTAGCTTTTGGAAGGCATCTTTCGCTATCCCAATGCGCCTTCGGATTTCAGTGTCACACTTTCTGTCCTCTGTTAAAAACTTTCCATATATTTTTTTAATCATCTGAAAGAAACCATAACCATTTAGTCGTTTTTCGTTTATTGGAATAATGAGTTTTATATGATATAAGAATTATTATATTTTTTATAAGTTATATGCTATCAAATATAGTAAAGTACTTAATCAAGTCATGGTAACAGAATGGTTGCTGTGTCTGTGTCACGAACTGCAACAGGTTTAGCACAGAGCCATTGTACATTTAAAAACTGTATTGTTTATAATGAATTCAGTAACCTTGAATTCTGCTAATTGAATCGCTCTCTAATTTAATGGATTTTCCTTTGTTTCACTGCGAAGTTAA